GTATAGTGCATATATCCAGGACACATTCCGTGGAAGAGTCTGTGAATGCCCCATGGTTGATGGTGTGCAGTTTAAGGGAGATGGTTACAGTTCTTGCAAGCGTGAGTGTAAAGTTCATTCACTCCATATGTATTTAGTTATGTGCGTCTCCTCTGTGTATGTGGTTCATACTTCATACAAAAGATTCTATATTTGCAGCAATTGGACCAGGCCGATGCAAAATAAATCATGGAGGCTGTTGGCATGAAACGCGAAATGGGCATACTTATTCTGCTTGTGTGGTCGGTTCAACTTCTGATTTTTTTTTTCTATCAGCCATGTTGTTCATTTATATTTTTTTTATATACTTTTCTGTTTTTGTATGATAATATGTTGAGATCTTAATACATAGCTTGCTGTGAGCAGGATGAGGAGGAGAACAAGTGCACATGTCCTCCCGGATTTAAAGGGGATGGTAAAAATTGTGAAGGTAACATCTTTAATTGTCAGGCATTTCATGATTATTAGGGGATGTTCCTATAATTTTACTAAAACATGACCCATTGACTAAAATATGAACACATAGCCACTACAATAACTGTGAAAAACAGCAAATGATCATTCCATAATGAAAGGGTACATGATCATGCTCGCTCAGTCACTGAAAATACCATCATGGTCCTGCACAGACAAAGTCACATTTTTCCATTATTTTTATTTCAGTCATATACATTTCCTAATTTCTTATTATTTTTATTAACTTGTAGCCGACCCCAAATTTTTTTGGGAATAAGGCCTGGATGTTGTGTTTTCCTTATTATTTTTATTGCTATTAATTTTATGTATTCACATCTAGAAGGCGATGTTACACTGAAGTTTGGAACTCCAAACTAAAGCCATGATTTGATTATAAAAATAGTACTACGTATAATTTATTGCTTCATTTGAATTTTTATTATATATAGTTTATTTTTAAGTTTATTGAAAAACAGATGTTGATGAGTGCAAAGAGAAGAAGGCGTGCCAGTGCGCTGAATGCAGCTGTACAAATACATGGGGTAGCTATGAATGCACTTGTAGCGGTGACCTACTGTACATCACAGACCATGATACCTGCATTAGTAAGTCCTAAAACTATTACTTAACTTCATATTCTTTTGTATAAGCTATATGACTGTATGTATTAGTTGTTATTTAGAACACAAATTGTAATAATGATGACTCTCAAATGCAGGCAAAAAGGTTACTGGAGTCAGATCTTCGTGGGCTGCTCTTTGGGTTATTTTGCTAGGACTGGCCATGGCTTCTGGTGGGGCATATCTTGTCTATAAATATAGATTTAGGGTAAGTGTTCAAAATATCCCCTACAATAAAATTTGTTCATATTAGTTCAATTACCATGGTTGTGAGAGGTTTAGCTGGATTGCAGGCTATGGTTATGATACATCATGTCAGGTCCAACTTTTTTTTCCCAGTGACTTTTAAGTCACATTCATTTGTTGCTTTAGAAGTTTGATTGACAAAATAATAAAGTGTTTTAGCTTGAAAGCTACAATTGTAAAACAACTTAAAAGCCACAGCAGTCCAAGATAATTTAAAAACAAAATACGTAGCTATTGAGGAGACAATGAGTTACTACGTACTACGTATTAGTTATTTGATATGAGTGAGTCTTGTTAGGGTCGTGTGAAAGAACATGGAAACCATATACTATTATTATCATTGTTGTTGTTGTTGTTGTTAGTTTCTTTTATTAGTATTAGTTTCCTATTATTGTCAGAAGTAGTTTCCTATTAGTATAGGTACTCTATTTCAGTTAAAATTTTATTGTAATAGGTTTAGATTATGGTAATAGGACTCCTGGAGTATTGATTAATAATATGATCAGTACTATTGGAGTTATTCCTTGGAGTCTTGACAAGGTTGGACGCCACATTCTCCTGCACAGGGTGGAGAAGTTAATCTTTATTGATATTTAATTTTTCTTCTTCTTGTCTCCCAACCACACCCAAATTATTTAGCTAAAATATTAGTTTATGAGCACATTGGTACAATAGATCTCTACAATTACAACACTTATCATGAATTACCAAAAAGATTTTTTCCCCACTGCACTGCTCGGTACTTTATGTTGGCAGTGCTACACTGGTAATAGTAGTAGTACTTACCTGCTCGGCACTTTTTAGCCAGTCTTGATAGTAAGTGTTTTGTTGGAATCAATTGTTTTTGTCACTCTTAGTCCTCCTGGTACTTGACTTTGAATTTTTTCACATTTAGTCCTTCAAATAGTGTGAGGGGATTGACTTTGAATTTTCCATATTTAGCCCTCTGACTATTTCATCTCTCGGTGCTTTAGTACAGGGGTAAGGCTGCGTACATCCGACCCCCCCTTACCCCATCGTAGATGGGAGCCTTTGCGGCACTGTGGTAATGATGATGAGCCCTCTGACTATTTCCACTTATTGTGACAAAAGTATAGTAGGACCAAAAGTGTCTCTTTTTTAAATGTCAAAGGACTAAATGAAAATTTTCAAAGATGGATTCCAAAAGTGTCTCCTTCACAATAGTGAATAGTCGAAGGACCAAAGCTGGAAAAATTCAAGGTTGAGCTCCAAATGTGTCAGTATTATAGTATTCGGAGGACCAAAGGTGGCAAAATCTGTGGAAGAAGCCTAAACAAGTTGAAAGTCCAATTGACAGGGTTTATTCTTCCTAAGTGTCTGAATTTACTATAGGTAATGTGTTTGGTGAAGTTAAGTCCAGCTATATAATTAAGTCAAAAGTGGGCTTCAGAAAAAGCATCATGGATACGAAACAGGATCTTAGTCATTAACCAAGTGATGAACTAGATATCTAATGTAGTAAAGGCACATTGATGATAAGTATAATTGCATTAACTGTGTGCTTGCGGTTTACTCTTTTTTGTGTGTGTTTTCCATTCAGTCATACATGGATTCTGAGATAAGGGCGATTATGGCGCAATACATGCCGCTAGACAGTCAAAATGGAGTTCAAAACCAAGTTGACGAGGATAATGCTTGAAATTTATTCCTTTGGGTCATTGTTATGTATCCAAAGTAAACAAAAAACTTCCTCTTATGATTATTACCAGTGAAGGATTGGAACGCCTCTCTGTCCTACCAAAGGGATTGATTTTCAATTGCCCGACGGATTTTGAAAAGGTGTCCTGTAATGAGGTGAGTAGGAACAAGTTATGGTACTCCAAGGGACTGTGGGGTTATGTGGATCCCCTCCTTTGGTTATAGGCAACAGTGAATATGATATGTACTATCTCCCCCAAACCTGCTGTTTGTATCTTTATATCTTGTTATTTGAAATGAGCTGCCCCCACAGGATGATCATGTGCAGTCTGTAATGACTGCAGTCTGTGTTCACTCAACAATAATATAAGCTGTTTCAGAAAATACATGCATTTGAACTTTGAAGTACAAGTTTACTTTTGCTATGATTAATATATTAGTTCATAGTTAAATAGCTATTGGTAAATGCAAGAGGAAAAGGTTATATGCACATCAATATAGGGAAAATAGAAACTAATAATCCAACATTTCGCGGTCTTCTTATAATAGTCCTACCTTTTCGTTAGGGGTGGACTCGGGCCGGTTCGGGCCTGGGCCGGACCTCGGGCCAGAAAACTAGGGCCCGAGCCCGAACCGCCGGTGGCCGGTTCCGGTTCTGGGCCAAACCGGGCCGGGCCGAACCGGTCCATATTTTTTTTTTATTTTGGTTCTCCTATTTAACCCCCTACCCCTCCCCCTCAACCCCAAACCACCCCAAACCACCTCAAATGGCCCAAAATACCTAATCCAACCCAAAACTTAAAAAAATTTCAAAAAAAATAAAAATAAAATAAAATCCGGCCCGGACCGGGCCCGAACCGGCTGGGCCGGTTCACCAAAAGCAGGGCCCGAGCCCGGACCGCCCATCACCCGGGCCGGGCCAAACCGAACCGCTGGACCCACCGGGCCCCGGGCCGGGCCGGGCCAAACAGTAACCGGGCCAGTTCCGGGTCGGGCCGCCCGGACCGCCCATCACCCGGGCCGGGCCAAACCGAACCGCTGGACCCACCGGGCCCCGGGCCGGGCCAAACAGTAACCGGGCCGGTTGCCCGGCCCGAGTCCACCCCCTACTTTTCGTTATTCAGGAATAATCCAACCTTAATTTGCGTGTCATCTTCATTCGCCTGCCCGGTTGATGACCTGCCATTTCAAGTTATTTTCTTATCTTTGTAAGATATTATACCATAAATCTCACCTTATGGTCACATAATGTTTTGCAAAGATAAGAAAATAACTTGAAATAGCAGGTCATCAACCGGACAGGGACCATTGAATGAAGATGGGGTGCAAAGGTTGGATTATTCCTGAATAATAAAAAGGTGGGACTATTGTAAGAAGACCGTTAAAAGGTTGGATTATTAGTTTCCATTTTCCCCATCAATATATTGGGTTGATTAAAAATTGGGTACATGCTTAGATTGTGGCTGAGGTAAAGATGTAATTGTTGCTGAAACACAACTGAAACGTGAACAGAAATGTTAAAATGTCATTCTTTCATCAACTTCAATAAAATGGCATGGTTTCTGAATGAAATACTACGTACGTGTTTAGTGAATATATTGTGATCAAATTTCAGACCACTATATAGAAATAACATTTTAGAAAAAATCTCTTTTGAAAGTTCCGCTATATTTTAAACATCAGTCTAATTAAATTGTTTTTTTCAAAGGAGTCTAATTAAATTGTTAAATACTCTCTTTGACTCATAAAATGGTGAAGTATTTTTATCCCGTGACATTTTATTTGACTATTTATAACAATTTAAAGACGTCGAGTAAATATTTCAATATAGATCTAGTGGACCCTTTTCATGTTTTAAAATTATTCTTGAAAGAGTTCTCCATTTGGGAGAGAGGAATTAACTATATTAGTATAAAAAAATCGTCTAGTATAAAAGAGGTTTTGAATTTTGATGTCAGTTCGAGACTTCGAGTGGGCATTCTTATTTGACTTTTTCTTGAACCAGAGCTAATTGGAGTCACAATTCATTTTCATCGCTTGAAAGCACCCTTTTCGTTAAAGTGTAGTTTTCAGTATGAAAAAATCAAGCTGTTCTTATACAGTTTTGTGCTTCAGGAGGTATTTTCTTCTGCAACATTTTTACCATTCTTATTTTACTTTAAGTTGCTTCTATCTTCTTTTACAGTTTGAAGAGGGTAAATCAGTCCCAACAACATATGCATTTGCATTGGTTGAGCATCGTCAACAAGATAAAATAAAACTTAGGATGCACTTGAAAGGGGAGTTCAAAGAATTGAACTCCTTGGAAAGTGCAATGGGAAAAAATATATGATTGTATTCTTTTGATTGTTTTACATATATTGTGATTTCCTAGTTATTACTACATCCGTCCCTAATAAAACTTCCAATTGCGGGTTACGAAGTTTGACCAACGATAAAGTAATATGATCCCTGTGAAAAATTGGATTATTTTTAGTAAATAAAATTTACATATTTAAACTAAATATAAAGATATTGTTTGGTGTGCAATTTATTTTTATGCCCTAAATAACTGCTCTACTTTGTATTTTTTTTTAGAGTAATAATAATAATAATATAGAAATTAGAACCAACAATAAATCAAAACACTGAATTAAAGGGCACTCTTGGATACAAGGACAATTAAAGAAAGTACATATACCTTAGTTTATACGATAGTATTAAATAATCAAATCAAATGATGTCAATGTTTTACTTCCATGCATTTCGAATGAAAAAACATGCTTTGATCTCCCAAAGAGGAGGTCACGAGTTCGAATCTCATCTTAATCAAGGATGTTGACATTAACTAGAACAGATATTATAATAGGTTTAGAAGGATGTGCAAAAAACATGCTTTGCATCTAACCCAACGTCCCCGATTGAAAAGTGAAAATATGTTAAGTCGTTTTATATTGAATTGAATTAATGAATTTAGATTACGATTATAAGTTTTTTTTCTTATGAAGGAAAATTTAAATATTTTGATTACACTAGAAAAATAACACAAGCGTCAAGACATGTTTTAAAAGCCAACAACGATATAATGCATATATACCACGCTGATGGTTTTAGACCGATATGAGAGACTCTTAAAAGCTCTTCTGACCTTAAAGCAGCCACTTTGAATCGAGTTGAGGGGTTAGAACTTAGAAGTTAGAAGTACGTACACCAGAATATGAATATGAGATTATACACAGATTTTCCTTAATTCGATCAACAAGGTAATAATGTTATGTGCGAACTTTTGAAGGCTAGAGCTGGCCCAATAAAATTCAGGATGAACCGTTGTACGAATCTAATCTCCTAACTTTCTTTTCTTCAATTATTAGCCAGGTTGGTGGGTGACTATTTTTCTCATATCTTTTCTTCGGTGCAAGGAAGTTGTGATGCTGTTTTTGAGTGTGTTAATCGACCGCTGAATGAGCATCATAATGAGCAGCTCCTTCGGCCTATGAGAAGTGAAGAGGTCAAGGAGGCTGTTTTTGCTATGTACCCGGACAAGTCACCGGGCCCGGATGGTATGAGCCCGGGGTTCTTCCAACATTTTTGGGATGTGATTGGCCCGGATGTTGTAAGCTTTTGCAGATATGCCTTTGAGTCAGGATCGCTTCCCGAGAGAGTTAATCACACCCACATTGTACTTATTCCTAAAAAAGAGCATCCCAAGGTAATAGGTGATTGGAGGCCTATATCCTTATGTAATGTTGTTTACAAGATATTTTCCAAAATGTTAGCAAATCGGATGAAGAGTCTTTTATATGGGTGTATCTCGGAGCAGCAGAGCGTGTTCATCCCCGACAGGTCCAATGTACATAACATCATGTTGGCCTTTGAGTCCCAACATTATTTAAAACGGAAGAGACAAGGAAAGGTGGGTTACGCGACTTTAAAACTGGACATGAGCAAGGCATATGATCGGGTGGAGTGGCCTTATTTGGAAGGAATGTTGAGGCACCTGGGTTTTAATGAGAGGTGGGTACGGTGCGATTACTGATGGAATGTGTGACTACAGTTACATACTTCATTCCCTTTGATGATACAGAGATTGGACCCATTTATCCTACCAGGGGGTTACGTTAGGGGGGGCCTTTGTCACCTTACTTATTCCTCTTGGTGGCCAAGGGGCTAATTGTGTTGCTCCAGAGACAGGAGATTTTAGGTCGTATCCGTGGTGTAGCAGTGGCAAGAGGGGCTCCGAGGATTTCTCACCTTCTTTTCGCGGACGACAGTCTGCTTTTTTTTTTTTCTTTTTTCAAGCCAGTCATGATGAGTTCTCTACTGTTAAACACATTCTACGAGATTATGAATTGGCGTCCGGACAGATTGTTAATTTTAATGTCTAAAATTTTCTTCAGCTCTAATGTATCGGCCGAATACGGAGTAGGGATAGCTGAACTTTTTGGGGTGCAATCTGCTAGTAATGAGGAGAAGTATTTGGGTTTACCAGCCTTGGTTGGCAAGAGCAAACGACAGATACTTGGCTACTTACGACAACGGGTGATTAAACGAATACAGAATTGGAACAATAGGTTCATGTCTCGGGCAGGGAGAGAGGTTCTTCTGAAGACGGTCGTTCAAGCTTTGCCAACCTATGCCGTGAACGTATTTCTTTTGCCAGTTGACCTATCCAAGGAAATTGAAATTATGATGAGCGGGTACTGGTGGAATGCTAAAACAAGAGGAGGGATTAGATGGAGGGATTGGATTTTTCTGAGTATTGCCAAAGAAGTTCGGTGGCATGGGGTTTCGTAGACTTAGAGAGTTCAATATAGCCATGTTAGCTAAACAAGCTTGGAGGTTTTTTATTAAACCAGATACACTTGTCGGCCGAGTTTTTAAAGCCAAGTATTATCCTGGAGGTAGTTTTGTGTCTGCGAAACTTGGTCAAAATCCGTCATTCATATGGAGAAGTTTGTTTGAAACTCAAAAGGTGATACATGAAGGTTATAGTTGGGAACGGAAAAACTATCAATATATTGACTGATCCCTGGCTTCCTTATGAGGCTAATGCAATGGTTACTTCTCCTGTTTTAGGGGGGCTAGAAGAGGCCAAAGTGGATGGGTTACTATCCCAGACAAGTTATTCTTGGGACGATGATGCTGTAGCAGATTTGTTCAATAATAGAGATTCAGAATTAATCAGAAGTATTCCCATAAGCTGGAGATCAGTTCCTGATAAAATTATCTGGAAAGGAGAGCCCAAAGGTTGTTTCTCGGTTCGTAGTTGTTATAGACGGATTATTAGGCAGTTAGTCACCACGGGATGGATGGGCTGGACAGGAATGTGGAATTGGAGGCTTCCTCCAAAAGTAAAATCCTTGTTTTGGCAGATATACACAGGGTGTATTCCCACAACTTCTCATTTGAGGGGGCGTTGAGTTGACTGCCCAGAGAGGTGTGGGTTATGTGGAGGGGATGATGAATCTCTGTTGCATCTGTTCGTTCGTTGCCCAGTAGCTAAGGATGCTTGGCGCGCAGTGGGGTGGAATTTTGTTGGTCAGTCAGCAACCAATTTCTTGGACTGGTTACGATTGGCATTTTTAGCAAAAAGGGAAGTAGATTTACAGGTTTTGGTGTGGGGTTGCTGGGGTTATGGACAGAACGCAATCAAAGGGTATGGCAGGGAAAGAAACTTGAATTTGCTCAAATTATGTTCAAAGCAAGAAGCTTCATTGAGGGATGGCTTCAAGCGCAGGACAGTGCCAACAGGTCAACACAAGAGGCAGGAAACTTATCTCTTTGGAGACGGCCAGCTGCAGGTTGGAGGAAGCTTAATGTTGATGCCTCCATTGCTGTTTGGAGCAGCGGGTTTGGCTGGGTGTTGATGGATGAAAGGGAAGACTTTCTGGCAGGAGGAGCCGTTCCTTGGCGGGGCAGATTTAACCCATTAGAAGCTGAATGTTTGGGCATCCGAGAAGTTCTGAGTTGGGTTAAAAATGAAGGTTGGGATTTCATTAAGGTGGAAACTGATTCGTTGCAGGCAGTTGAGGAGATTCGGAAGGGTTCAAACTCATCTTCAGCAGGTCTTTTGGCAGGTGACATCAAGGAAATCAGTTTAGAGTTTTCTCATATTTCCGTTTATTCAGTTAGACTTTAGCGAATAAAGTTGCTCACGAACTGGAGAGAGCGACGAGTTCTATGTCTGAAGGTCGGTTTTGGTTTACCGATCCCCCGGAGTGTGTTGCTCAAACTTTATCTTTCGACTCTATTAATACAAGTTAATGTGGTTTCTTTAAAAAAAATTGACAACAATTTTCGATGATGGTGACGTCCTCTGGGCAGTAACAAATAAAAAGTTTTCCTATGTTGTTGCTTCTAGCGTTTTAGTTTTGATTCATCTTCTTTTTTGGCCGATAGTTATATCCGCTTCAGGTGAGCGCACGTTTTGTTCTTTTCATAGCAATGTGTAGACTATAGAAGATTGTGTATGTCTCGTTGGTGTAATTGATCGAGTGGTTCATTATTCGTGATTGGCAAGACGGGTTCATCGTAGTTCTTCTGAAGCTTCAATTCAACTACTCGTCTTCCCCTTTGTTGGAGGTATTGGTCCTACCAAGGCCTCCCTTCCACTTTATTTGTTGAGGCTTGCACACTCTATTTTACTCTCTCTTGGATACCTGTCTCTGGTATATATCTTGATCAAATATATACCTTGATGAGTTGACTTTCCTACTGGCTGGCCCCCTTTGTGTTCTGTCCGCTGCATCACTTTGTCTTGGCCTATACATGTGACTCTCCTTTGTATTGGTAACATGTGATTGTCTTTTGTCTAGCTTCACCCGTGAACTCCCTTGGCAGCCTATTTGAAGCCTTGCTTCTTCCCTTGTTGAAGCAGCCTACGTGAGTATATCCTTTGTGTGAGAGAGCAGAGCTCACTTCTTCTTCCTCCTTTGTGTGAGTGTAGAGAGGTCTAAGTGGAGAGAAAAATAAGTGTGTGCTATAGCCTCCTCCTAAGTGTGGTGTGTGAGAGTGTGTGTTGAAAGACCTGAGCCGGATACGGAATCCGATCCTTACAGTGGTATCAGAGCCGGAGTTCGCCGTCTGCCGCTGTCCGCCGCCGCCGTCCGCCGCCGCCATCGATTGGAGCTTGCTGGAGTTCCCTAAGGCCTGGTTCTTCGCCGTTCGCTGCCCGGAGGTTGAAATAGACTTCCTCTGACCGAAGCTTGAAACCCTCGCCGGAAGTGGAACCTCCGCCATCGCCGCCTATCGCCGCCTGGAACCTCCGTCGTCGCCTGAGAGTGACTGACGGTGTTCGCTCGCTGCTGGGAACGTAGCTCGCCGTCCGTCACCACCAGAGCTCGCCGCCGGTAGCCTGGGTGCTCGCCGATCGTCGTTCCTCACTGGTCGCCGATCTCAATCGCAGAAAGCAGAGGACGAAGTGACAAGCAGTACAGTTCATGCGCGATGGGCAAGGACGAAGAGTACTTCTTCGCTATTTTATTTAGTTCGTTGCTGGACTGCTGATTTTTGGGCTTTGGCTTTCTGGGCTGGAGCTTTGCTGAAGTGCTATTGGACATTTGTACTGCTGACTTGCTGATTTGTTGGACTGGAGCTGGGAGCTGGGAGTTGGAGTGCCGGGCTGAAGCTACTGGATTGCTTGGACGTGGACTGTTGGGCTGGAGCTGCTGGACCGCCGGTCAACGCCGGTCAACGCCGGTCAACGGCAGTCAACGCCGGTCAACAGTCAGTCAACTTCTCAGAAAAATCCCAAATTTTTTAAATTTGGGTAGGTAAGGTCGAAACGCTCTCCTAGGGTTTCGCGAAGGTAAGTTTTCTGTAAACTTCCTATTTGTAACATTTCGGCTTTAATTTAATTTAATTTAATTTATTCCCTCTCCCCGCGGGCCGCCGGTTGATTTAATCCCGGCCGCCAACCCCCCAGGTACGTTTTCTAAACTTTCTCCTTTGTGGTAGACTGTTTTAGTTAATTAATTAAATTGCTTTGTGTTATTTAATTTTAATTGTTATGCGTAGGGGTGGTTTATTGGGTGGTAGGGGTAGAATTAATTAATTTTAATTTTCTGTCCGGAATTGTTTAATTGCCAAAATGTCCATTTTTTGCTATGTGTTGCATGCTGCCCGGGGTTATTAAAGTGAACACTTTATAACCCGGGTTGGATTATTTTTCTGTCATTTCTATCTGTTTAGCTTTGTGTTCCTTTTGTGGTTGATACCATGGCTGCGAATCAGTATGGTATGCTCCCATTTAATGGAAAAACAGATTTTGATATTTGGAAACAGAAAATTAAGTGTGTTTTAATACAGCAAAAAGTTTCCAGAGCTGTCACTGGTATTTTCCTTGAATCAGAAGATAAGGCTAAGCAAATTGAAATGAGCGAAACTGCTTGTTCTACTATTTACTTGAATTTGTCTGATTCTGTGCTTAGGAAAGTGGGTATTCTTGAGTCCGCTAAGGAGTTGTGGGAGAAATTGGATAGTCTCTATACTGATACCTCTTTGCCCGGAAAGTTGTTCTTGCTAGAGAAATTCTTTAGGTTTAGGCTTGACCTGACTAAGGATATAGATGAGAACCTGGATGTGTTTAATAAACTGATACAGAATATCAAACAGGCAGGTGATAAACACATAGATGATTACACTCCCATAGTATTACTTAATGCCATTCCCGACTCTTATAATGATGTTAAGTCCGCTATTAAGTATGGTAGGGATGAGATTTCGTTAGACATCGTTGTGAATGGGTTAAGGAGTAAGGAATTAGACCTGAAGCATGCTAGGGGTAGTGCTAGTCAGTCCAGGGACTCCGGTGAGGCTATGTTTGTTAGGGGTAGATCTAAGGGTAGGTCTAAGAATCCTAAGCAAAATAGTCAGGGTAAGAACACTAGTCAGCCTGGGAGGAAGAGGAGTAAATCTAGGAAGAGAGTGTGTTACAATTGTGGTAACACTGGCCATTTCATTAAGGATTGCCCCCACCCTAAGAAGACCGAGCATGCTAGTGTAGCTGTTGATAAATGTGACCTTGGTGATATCTTGATGGTTTGTGACCATGTTAATTCTGTGAGAAATTCCCTGTCTGAGCATGAATGGTTGATTGACTCTGGTTGTACCTATCACATGTCCCCCTTTAGAGATTTGTTTTCTACTTATGAATCATGTGATAGTGGCTATGTTTCCTTAGCTGATAATAAGAGATGCAATGTGCTTGGTGTTGGTGATATATGTCTGAAGTTTTCTTGTGGCTCTGTGTTTACCATTAAGAATGTGAGGCATGTCCCTGATTTGTGTCATAACTTGTTATCTGTTGCTGCTTTGGAG